ATAATAATATTGCGTATAAAAGCATGTGAAATGTTGCAAAAGTTTTAGAATAAATTTGTGCCTTAAATACATTTTTATTTCAGAAATATCTAAACTACATGAGTTAATGCTCAATTTAAAAACACAGAAAAAACAAATATTCCTAAAGAAAATGTAGAATGAAGAATGGAATAAATCAGAGGGCAAAATCAAGAAATAGGAAATTAAAATATGTGTTTTGGTTTGTGTCTAGATGTTCCCCAAAAGCCTCATGCAGTCATGGGGGTGGGTTCTGAAGTTTGTGATTGATTCATGGTCCAATGCTGGGATTATGGGTGCAAGTGCTACACCTTGTCTGGGCCAGGTAGCCTGCATACAATATAAGGGTGGGAAACAGGCTTGCTCTCTTGCTCCTCTCTTTTTGCTCTTGCTGCTTTACTGTCTGCTGCTGCCATGAGCTGTTGCTCCTTTGCCATGTGCCACCCTGCCTTGGAGCCCACTGATTATGGTCTGAAACTTCCACAAACTGTGAGGTAAGTAGACCTTTCCACCCTCAATTTTGGGCATCAGGTATTTTGTCTCAGCAATGAGAAAAATAACTATGACAATATGATATACTTTTAAATAAAATAGAACAAAATCTAAAAGGAATGATAAAGGAAAATAAGAGAAAAGGCACAAAAATCTATTCTTTAAAAGGACTCTATGGGGCTATAACTATAGCTGTAGTAGAGATTGGAATAATTATAAGAAAATCTTATGAACTATTTTGTGCCTATGAATTTGAAAACTGAAAATGATAAGTATATGGAAAATGGAATTTTCTAAAGCTGCTTCAAAAAAAGAACATAATATTGGGTCAGCTGAACAGAATGGTGTGCAGGTACACACACATACACACACACACACACAGGAATTTGATATGTAACAAAGTTATCATTAAAAGGAGAAGTAACATATTAAAGTTCAATAAATAGAGTTGGATGCATGTTAACCATATAGAATGGGTAGCTTACAATGTACACCAAAGTAAATTCTGTTGATTCAAGCATTCAGTAATAAAAGAATTTTCAAACTTTTGGAAGGAAATATAGAAGAATAATTTTATGATTTGAAGGTATGGAATATATGGCATGTTATCTCACAAAATTCACAAAGCTCAAAAACCAGTCTTAATATCATTCATTTTCTGCTCTTCCATGTAACCTGTGAGGCTCCTCAGAATGGGGCACATGAAAGGGTTCTTGAGTATCTTAGTTACTTTTCACTCATTGCTGAGACAGAATACCCGACACCCAAAGTTAAGGAAGGAACGATTTATTTAGCTCACAGTTTGTGAAGTTTTCAGTCATATTCTCCTGGCTCCAAAGCAGGGTGGCATGGCATAGGAGCAACACTTCAAGGCAGCAGAAGACAGCAAAAGCAAAAAGAGCAAAAAGGAGAGCAAGCTTTTCCTCCCTTATTTTGTAAGCAGGATACCCTCAGGGGTGAGGGTAGCATTCACGCCCTCCTTTTGCACAGAATGAGGATGTTTACAAAGAGCACCCTGGCCCCTTGCTGAGTTGCTTAGTTAAACTGCTAAACTTCTCAAGTTGACACAGTGTGTCCACCATAACAGTGGGCTTAACAGATGTGAGTCACTGTCAAGAGATCTGAGGATGTAAGGAATCTGAGGACTCCCTTCCCGGCCTGCAGTGTTGTCTCTCTCCTCTGTGAAGGCTACAGTTGCTACCAGCTACCCCTCTCCTTCTTGTTACCCTTCCCAACTTCCAGGAAAAGCACTTACTATTTCTTCCCAGGTAGGGCTGTTTGCTGTTGCTTGGGTACTTGCTGTGCCCTTGGTTGGCTTCTCAAAATGCTGATGACATCTTTGCAAATGTTCCTTTATTCAGCTCTCCACAGCTTTGTAACTTTGAGTACTTTATATGTTCTCTTTCCAGACTCTAAATGATGAATTAAAAAGACAAGCAATGGTAAAAACTTACTTAAAACTTCTCCATAATGAAACAACCACACAGTGATGAAGAAAAGTAGGAAGAATGGAAGAAAAGAAAGGAGGAAAAGAGAGATGGATAAAGGAAGAGAGGGGAGAAAAGGGTTGTTATGGTTTAGGTCTCAAATGTCCTCTAAGACCTCACGCGTTTAGAGGGGGGACTTTGGGAAGGTGATTGGATCATGGGGCGCTGTACTCATCAGTAGCTGAACGTGCTGTGAGGAGATGGGAGGTGGGACCTGGTTGGGACTGGCTGGCAGTGTGGCCTGGAAGTGATACTCTTGTTCCCAGGTCATCCCTTTTTTCTCTGTGCTTCCTGACTTGCATGACCTAAGCATCTTTCCTCCACTATGCCCTTCCACCCTGTCATCCCTGCCTTGGACTTAGCTGACAAGGGACTGAAACCGTGAGCCAAAATAATCCTTTCATCCTTTCCTTTGTGGTGTTGGGTACTGGGTCTCAGTAATGAGGAGAGTCACTAAGACAAGGAAGAAGGAAGGGAAGAAAAATGTCATAAACAGGAAGATTTTTTCATGCCTCTTTAGATAAAGAATCACTTCCCAAAGTACATAAGGGTCTACATATCAATTCCAAAGTATGGAAGCGGTATCACCAGGAAATTGAGCCCCAGCCTAGGGAGGTGTTGATGATACTGCCCTTCACGGGAGCTTGGTAAGGTTGGAAGTGAGTGTGAGAGGTCTTGTTGAACAGAGAAAGAGGATATAAAGCATGTACAGGTCAGCAGTGAACTGTTAGACTCATCACTGACCGTCTCTATCTCATCAGAGGATGGGAAAGCCAGTGGTGCAGCTGCTGTGAGAGAGGGAGAGATGCTGACTGCCCAAGTCCACCTGAGGGTGAAGACTAGAGACACACAGCTGGACACACTGGGTCTCTTCTAACAAACTGCCTGCATTGCTTGATCCAAACCAATCTTCCTCCAGATCCCACCATGCCCAATCATAAACTTCTGCCAAACTAAGCAACTTATAATTTCCTTTTATATTTATTGCCCCTAGCTAGTAATTTATCACTATACTTAAATTCCCAAATACTTCTATTGGTAACCACGGTGATTTAAATGAATACATAAAGTGTTTTAAAGTGTTGGAAAAAAGGTAATGAAGTCATTATCTTTATATTTCTTTTCATAATTGTGAGAGATAAATCAATAAGCTATGCAAATAAAATAAATGCATTTTTAACAAAGAAACGTGGACCCTATCTTTCAGCCTTTCAGTTTTCCCTGCTTCTCCATTTGGAGGTCAGGATTACTGCTTTACAACTGTAACTATAAAGTTCACTCACTGGTTATCTGTATTGTGTTACTGGAGCTCCAAGTTCAGTACAACAAGTTATTAAATGCTTCTTAGGTTCAAGGCTCTGGGTCCATGAGTGGGAAGAGGAGGGGGCTGTACAAAATACAGGAAGCCTTTGGCATAGAAATGTTGTGTAAGGCTTGTACATAAAAAGCATTATTCCAAGTAATTTCAATCTCCAGTAGTCTGCACTTTCTCTTCAGGCTTGGAGGTACACATATGATCTCCAAATAGGTGTGTTTTCCCATCACAACTGACCTTCGGGTTTGCTTAAAGCAATATGGGTGCTCCTACCACCTCACCTTTGTTTAATGAGAGCCATTTCCCAAGCCAACTTTGGGTTAATGGACTGAGATGGGAGAAAATCAAACATATCTCTACGTTTTACGCCAGATTGCCTTTCTGCCTTGTGGCTTTAATCACTCAATCCTCCTCACATCTGCCATAATAACAATTATGGCTTTTCTACTGCTTTCTCACCCAGGAGGATATGTCAGGGTATACCAACATCTCTCAAAGAAAGACAGGGCAAATCCTTAATCTTTTTCCAGCATCGAAGGTAATAATTTTCCTCCACAAACCCCCAAGGAAGACTTCTTTTGGCTCTTACACCCACTGTTCTCATAGGTCTGTGGCTCCATTCTGATTTACGAGCTTTCTTCTATCCTTTCTCTTCTGAAACAAGTTTTAATTATGTAGACAGATTGTTAAAAGTCCCTTTCTTCCTGTAAACAACTATTTCTTTGTTAGTAGAAGATTTTAACTGGTTTCCTCCTAACTGAATCTTCTGTATACCCAGGAATTATGTTTGCTTATTGTTTAACTGCAGGAAGAAGGGAAAAGAAAGCTGGCTTCGTTTCATAGATTCCCTTGAGGAATTCAGTCCTGGAACACCTCAGACTGCACATCTCCCTTGGGAAATGTTCTTTGTTGCATATGTCTGGAAAGCCCGTAATATTTTAGCTTTGATTCCTCATAAGAGCAAAGCATCAACCATCAAATAAGAAATACTATAATATTTTCAGTTCTTCTACTTTTTAAAAACTTTTTTTCTGACCAAAATCAAAAAACACTTGAAATCCTCAAAAGCACTTGTGAAAATTTTAACAGTTGCTCCTTCCTCGGGGAAATCAGTGAAGTGGATTTGAAAAATTGATTCAGGTGATGCTGACATCCACAGCTCTTTACTCTGTCCCCTTCCACATAAAAGGTAAACCCTAAAGACAATGAGTATTTATATGACTCTTTTCTTGTTCTGCATAAAAACTTTCAGGTACAGTATTGGTTGGCTCTTTTTCCTGATCAGGATATTGGTCTAATCATTTTACACATTCTCTGATATTTCTGACCTCTTACCTAACTTTTGTAGCCCAACATTTGAGTCAAAACTGGTTTTGACCAATAACAGCTAAATACTATCCATCAACCAGCTTAGTAATTTCCCACAGCAGTTTTAAACTTTTAAATGGCACCCCACCAAGAATCAGTATGCTCCCTCAAAGACTCTCCTTGAAGATGTTGAGGTGTATTTGGAATCAACACAATAATTTGTAGACACAGCAATGTGCTTCATATCTTCACATGGAAGAAGCATTTACTCAGCTTTCCCAAACAGGAGGTGTGGTCTGTGGCCAAGGAACAGGGCCAAGGACTTTGGCAAGTGCTGAATACAAAGTCACGACCTTGGTCCCTATGGCCAGGCTGCTAAACCAGCAGTGCTCTGTGCAGGTAACTGCAGTTTATGGGGAGCCAAGATTCTTAACTCGGGTTTGGTGCAGGGACGTGAACTTACTGGGATTTTATCGAAGCTTTTGTGTGTATTTATATTTTTTGAGGGCTGGGGAGTGGCATTCACATTTTCATTAGATTCTCAGTAGTGGGTGTGACATAGAATAATGAAAGGTTAAGATTAGAGTAAATCAGATTATTCTAAAAGAAAATCATTTCAGTATTTTTTGAAGTAGCTTTTTACTAATGAAATAAATTTCTGTAATGTGAGATTTCAGTAATTCTATTAGAACTGGCCATTTAATACGTATCTTCTCTTCTTTTGAAAGATTTTAAATTTACATTTAAAATGGAGAAATCTGTTACTTTTACATGAAGGGGAAGTGCTAGATTAAGCTCTGCACTTTTGAACTTCACATATAGTCAGTGCTGTGTAACTACATTCAACCAGTTTGGTATGGAACTATTTAGGGAAAAGAATTGCATCTGTACAAAACTATATTTTTTTTTCTTTTTGTGATTATTCCTCAGATAATACAATATAACAACTATTTATATAGTATTTGCAATGTATTAGATATAATGTGATTAGTATGATTAAAAAAGAAATCTACAAATGATTTAATGTATACCAGAAGATGTACATAGATCCTATGCAAATAGTGTGCCATTTTATATCTGAGATTAAGTATCTGCAGATTTTAATATCTGCTTTAGTCCTGGAAGCAACCACCTTGGATATGGAGAAACAACAGTATTTTTATGATGCAGTATTTTCCTACATTCTATGAATGTGTTTTTCACAATCCATTATTTTGTAATCCATTCTTCTTCTGTCTTAAAATCATGCTAAAATAACTCAAACCTTAACTTTAAATAAAGAAGGCTTAAGTCTGGCCAAACTTTACCTAATCAAATCGTAGGGTGTTACTTATTAACTGTAGGATAGTACATTCCTTAGATAACATAAAAGTTTTCAAAAGCAAATTGGCATTCTGCAGACATCTGCTGCAGTCATTCCCGGTTTTCAGAGCATTACAATACATGTACATTTTCAGTGTTGCTGATATGCTGTAAAGCTTTTTTTTTTTTTTTGCGATATTGGATATAAATGCCATCAAATATGTATAATATAGATTTTTTTTAATTCTAGGTTACTTTATGGAATGGGTCTATAGAAAACAAGAAAGAATTGAAGCTTTAAAGAAAAACAAATCATGTGGTCTTCAGATTCAGTAATGAGGAGAAATGCAGCCATCTGAAATGGTCATGAACCCCAAACAAGTCTTCCTGTCTCTGCTGATATTTGGAGTGGCAGGGCTGCTCCTCTTCATGTATTTGCAAGTCTGGATTGAAGAGCAACATACAGGTAACATGTGGACTTCTTTTGCTCTATTTTAATAACAGTGGTCCTTTTCAATTAAATAAGCTGTGATGTTTACAGATACATAGTAAATTGAAATGTTTCAGATTTCAACAACTCCAAAAATATGAGTCACAAAATAAAATTCCCAGGCTCTAGAAGATCGATATATATATATATATATATATGAAACTCTGGTGGCCATTGGCTTGATGGCTTCACACTTGGGATTTTTATTGTGTCAGTGAGGAAAATAAAGTAAAATGAGAATGATTTCTTAGCTGTCTGCAGTTGTAATCTATTTTAAAGTTATTTTAGATATAAAACACTTCATCTACATTCAACTATAATTGTTTGATTTGCAAGTAGATAATTATAGACACTCTTCTGGAATTGAAATGGGAAAATATATGATGGAGAAATTAAACTCTGTCCAATCATAGGATAGAGCATTTCATAACACTGCCTATTTTTAATACATAATCAATTATATGATCCATTTCTTTGTATTTCTGTCTTGATATATTGCTACAGATCTATTTCACACTATTTTTGGAGTTGTTAAGAGTACATGTTTTCCATTCCAAGGGATCTTGAAGAGTTCACATGTCCTACTTCTTAGTTTTGTGGCTGAGCAAATTTCTTCACATTTGTAAGCCTCAGATTCCTCATCTGTAAAACAGGAATAATAATGTTCACTACACAGAGCTACAGTGAAGATTAAAGGAACCAGTCAGTGCCTGCAGATTGCTCAGCGTGGTTGTTGGCAAGCAGTACAGTGAATGTAACTCACTATCTTAGAAATAATGCAGAGCACCTGCAGCCTTCCATGTTTTGGGCTGTCACAGCTAAGACTTGGCCAGTTTAGGCAGACTGAATTGTGCTCAAGTTTGTGGCTTGACTGCTTAAAGAGGAAAAAAAAACTCTGTTCCAGGTCTGGTTAAAATAGTTTGGAGAATCTAAGTGGCATGGGGCCATTTTGGTTATCAGTGTAGACAGTGATAGGAGAATGACAGGCTCCAGTGCAGAGAGAAGATCATTGTTTGTTGTCTCTGCAGGATGTGTCCAAGGTCAGGTATTCACCCTTCCCACCGTATGTCTTGAGTACTTAACAGTCAAGGGTGCCAAGCACTGTGGTGAAGGTAGGGACACAACAACGAGCCAGATTTATTCTTGACAATAAGGGAAAATGATCCTGAGTCTGGGCCAGGGTATTGGTACAAAAGGACAGTTCATTATGACAGAAAGGAGATGGGACTTCCATCATGGACAAAATAAAGAGTTGGGATCAAGACAAAGTGAAAGAGCCAGGCCAGTGGCTGGTGACAGAATTGCTGGGAGTGGTGTAGGGTTGAGGCGGGTGAATGGGCATTGAGGGAGAACCAGATCAGGAGTCCAGTTCAGGATAAATCGTAAAACTGATCCTATGATTAAAGGGCTAATTCTAAATTCTAGGTTTAGTTGCTTACATTCTAAAGAACCTCCCTCTCTCAGCTGCTGCTTAAATTTGCAAGTTGGTGCTCTTTCTCTGGGTGGGATCTTCCTGCCAAATAGAATACTAAACTGCATGGTGTGTGGCTGCTTTGTTTGTGCAATAAGACAGAGCTAAGGCCCTGTTGTGACACAGTCAGAACCTTGGATTTAGAAAGGAATGTAAACATCCTCTGTCATCCTCTTGCTATGGTCTGAATGTCCCCTCCAAAACTCATATCCCATTGTGAGGTATGAAGAGGGTAGAAACTTAAGTCCCTGGCACTTGGAGGTGAGACTTTTGGAAGTAACTAATGATAAATAAGGTCACAAGGGTTGGACCCTACTCCAAGGGTCTGTGCTTTTGTAAGAAGAAGAGAAATTTGAATTAGGATGCTCACATGTCTTGCCGTGTGATGCTTTGGCTGCCTCAGAATTGTGCAGGGAGCCCCATCAGGCAGAAGGACCTTGCCAGTTCCAACACATGACCATAAATTTCCCATTCTTTAGAACAATGAACTGGGTAAACCTTTATTGTTTATAAATATGTAGTCTATGACACTCAGTTATAGCAAAAGAACACCAACTCAGTCATCACTTCTTTTTCTATATATAAATCCAATTATAACACTCCCTGTTTAAAATTTTTCAGTGACACCTTTTTCATTTTAATAAAATTTCTCCTTGGGGTCTACAGAACAGGACGGGCTATAGCCACATCCTCCTCATCTTTTCCTCCACCAAACCAAGACCGTTGCTGACTGAGTGTTCTCAGTTTCAGAAGGGGATTATGACCTTCCCTCACCTCCATCTCTCACCTATTAGGGCTTAGATCAAATGTCATTTTCTTTGACCACCCTGCAAGTAAACATTCTCCCTCTGTCCCTCCTTCTCTTTCAGAAATTATCACAATCAGTTGCTAGTTTAATTACAGTATTTGTTGTCTCATTTATTGTCCATATTCCTCTCTCTTTTATGAGTTCCTTGAGAACAGAGGCCTACTCTGACTTAGCCCAATTTAGCCCAGAATCCCCTTTGCATAGCATGGAACTTAGTATATGGTAGGTGCTCAAGTGACTTTTAGGAATGGATAAATAATGTTTATGCTGGTTTTCCAACATTCTAGCCCAGTGTTTACATAGACTGCATTTGAGTACTGAGAGGAAAAAAAATTAATATTTTCAAAGCACCCACTCTACTGTATAGCAGCCTCCTTAGGAAGCACCAGGTATTAATTGTATTAATGAATATATTTTGCATCCTAAACCTCTGATTATTTACCCTGTGACACTCCATGAAGTTCACCTTTCTTTCATCACATAGCCTGATCATTTTTACAGAAAATGAAAACACAGCTTTTTAACAATTTCATGAAAGAAAAACAAGCCAAGTCAATCTCATCTGAGCCATCACATTTACTCTGTATTCCTCTTACATAATTCATACTATTTTTGTGCATCATTTGTGTGAGAAATATGCATATCTATTAAAATTTCCTATCAAGTAGTGAAGAGTCATGGATCCTGGCTAAAAGTTTACACTATTTCCTTTTCTGAGACTTTTTTTTAGAATCAAGTTTAATCTCAACTGAAATAGCTCTCTAGAGGTTATTTTATACTACAAATATCTTTCTAAACAATCTCTGCATTTTTTATTCAAGACAATGTTTAGCAATTTATCAGTAATATTCTGTATGTATACTTGAAATTCAGATACTTTTATTGTTTTTTCATATCACTTAATAGATATTTTCCTGATTTCTCTGTTATTTCTGGTACACACTAAATGACTACTGATATTGGAATTTAATTTAAGATTCAGCATTACGGCCCAAGTGCAATTATTTTGTTGAGTTATCATGGGTAGCTTTTCAAAGAGTCATGTAACTAGAGTCCAACCTGGGTCTGGGACATCACTCAGTAGTAGAACATGTTCTTAGCATGCATGAGGCCCAGGATGCAATACTCACTGTCACCAATCCAGGTTCTGTAAGTGGCGCTTTGCTTGAGAAGTGTGTCTTTCTGTGTAGTGATATGAACGTTCTAGAGATCAGTGTTCTATGTAAATCCTACATGTTGTTATCAATAGCTCAGGAGCCAAAGTGGATGGCTGCTTTTTTTTCTTTTCAAAAGCACAGCAAACATCAGTGGTCTCAGCTGTATTGTGTATAGCTGTTTATAGTATAAATGTAGAAGGTGGTGGCTGCAAGGTTATGATTTCAACCAAAGGAAAGGCAACTTAATGCTTCCTCTCACATAACTGACTTTGGTTTTCACAACAAACTAATCTCTGTGCTTATGTTTTCTAGGCAGACTTCATCTTGCTTTCTTTTTCAAACTAAGGGTACTATTCCTCGACATTGAACCATATTTTTGGCATGTGAAATTTTACTTCCAGTCAGGGTGGTCTAATTCTTTTCTCCTGAGCCTCCAATGAGACAGGATAGTCTCTTCCTGTAAAATTAGGCAGTTCATCCTGATTGTGACGTTGCTGTACTGAAATTATATTTTCTTCCAGGGTATCTTCGACTGTGTGAACTAGAACAGAGCCACTTTAGCATGGGAGGACTTTATGTTTGCTGTCAATCATTGTCTCAGGAGAACAAAATCCTCTTTGTTTTAAAAAGTCGCTCATTTTAATTACTTCCTCTTACTTTGTCGTGCATTGCAAATATTTTTTAATCAAAAGAACACAAGGTCCTGCTTCCTGCCTTTGTACACTGCCATACCACAGCCTCCTTGTACATGACCGGCCCCACACGGCCACATCCGGGCTTTCCTGTTAGGCGATCTTCTTGGGGCGAGTTTCCATTGCTGGCATTTTTGACTCCTTCAGGCTACCCTATCTAAACATCCTGTGTAAAGTAGATACCCCCTCATTTTTCTGTTACCACATGTTATTTTTATTGTTTTTAAAAAATTGACTTCATGGTGCTTATCCTAATCTCTAATCATGTTTCAGTTACTTACATATGATCTACCTCTCCCAATTTCATGGAAGCTCCCTGATGACAGGGAGCTCACATGTTGATCTCTAGGGCAACTGCAGCTGTCCCTGCCTCTAGCAGCTGATTTCATTCTTCACTTTGTAGCATCCATGAAGTCCAGTGTTTTTTCTTATTTAGCCAGCTGTCAATAGCTTGATGGTCCCCATGGGCTCTGTCTTAACTCTCTACCCCAGGTGTTCTAGCATTCTGTCGGGTCCAGTGCTATTTCAGCAAGCTTTCCCTCATGGGACAGAAGTGAAGGACTAATGGCTTTCAAATTGCTTAAAAGTCTTCTGAAATTGACTAATGTTCAACTGCCAAGCTTTGCAGCAGTGTCGATCCCTTTGTCAAACCAAATAACAGATAGAGATTCTCAAGTGATTAATTGAGTTTATTCAGGGATAGCACTGCAATTGGAATAAAAGTGCCATAGCACAGTATGCGTATTCATAAAGATTAAAGCAAAGGGAAAGTGTTACTAGCACAAAAAAAAAGAAAAAAAGGAAAATTTTGCATACGAATTTTATTCATTTAGGAGACTGGAGGCAGG